TAATAGTTGTTTACTAATAAATTAGTAGCAATCTCTCTCTTAATCAGATATACTGAAAAGCTCAGAATTGCAGGGTGATTATATAAATAATACTTGACTTCTGGCAAACTGTTTATTCTTACATTATAAGACTCAATGACTAAACACATTTTAGTGTGTATATAAAAATGAAATGTCTTGCTCTTTGAAATAATAACAGGTAACTCACTCTTACAAATTATAAATATCTTTCAAGAAGAATCTTGGATTCACTTATGTCCTTACCTATTTCCACAGATGCTCTACTGTTTTCTTAAGAATTTTGAGTTTATCATCTAACTCCTCAAAAACTTATTTATTATTCAGAGTACATTGATTTCATCTGCTAAATTCATGCCATAAACCTCTCAAAAGGAAAGAAAGTTTTAATATGTATACTTTATTACTTCTTATGAAAAATACCTTTTCTAAAATCATATCATATATTTTTTTCCTCACTTGCCATTTACAGCAGGTTTTTTGAGTCAAAATTATATTAAAAAGTTTTTTTTTCAGTCATATTGTTTACACAGAGTTGAGGAATAATTAAAATGTCCTAACAAAAAAATAATTACAAGTGACTTATAAGGAATAAAAAACAACATTATTGGAGCTAAATCTGAAAAGGTTAATGTTTTTGGAGGTGACAAAATCAATTCAGTGCCACTGAATTCAGTAATCTATCAGTAGTTTCATGATATATTTTTCCTCCTGGATAATACTTTCCTGTCTCAATTTATTTCTTTACCATCAAATATAGACAGATTTATAGCTCATGGATAAAGCCAGATATTACTGTAATAGCCTACTAGTTGGTTGTCAAGAAACAATGTATAACATTGTAAACAAAAAAGAGTGAATTTTCAAAAGATAGGCAGATTTTAATGGCTTATTGAACAAGTTCTGCAGATACTAATAACGTCACAATTTTTTGATGAGTGCAGATGTTTCTAATTATTTCCATTTGCCTATGTGTATAGTTCCTCTGCAGCTTCACCCATCAAGGTGAGTCTATTTCAGCATTTCGTGAATGTGGACTTCACCACGTGACTAGTTTTAACCAATGAGATGCTATTATATATGACCTGTAAGATGTTTTTATACTGGGCCAGCTCTTTTCTCAAACCTTAACATAATTTCAAACTAGCCTGCTGAATAGGGAGAGACTTGGATTCACTTCCCCAGCAACCAGTCTAACAATTGCCAGACATGAGTGACTATCTTTGATCATCTAGCTACCATCTGGCTTTCCTGTGGCTAGTAATCAGAAGAGATGACATGAACCAGAGAATTATCAAGCCAACAGATACAAGTCTGTTATAAATATTTGCTTGAATGAAACTGAATTTTGAAATGATTTGTTGTGTATTCAAAAACTAACTGATATGAACAATTATTTCAATGTCTAGACCACAGATTTAAAACTAAACATGTAATTCAGTTTTAACTAATTTTTTTTAAAAAGATTTATTTATTCATACAGAACTGGGGTACAGGCCAGAGATGCAGTGGCGGTGAGAGGATTCACCAGAGACAGAGTGGGGAGCAAATCAGGCAGATCGATGAAATACACTGCTGAGGGGAGCAGTGGGTTGGTCAGGAGAGGTCTGCCACGCCATGTGGATCACCTCCAGGGAAGGCGGGGATTGAACTCATGCTAAAGTGGCTTTAGCTTCTTAGTGCTATGCTTTAACCTGCTGTACCACCAAGGAGGACCTCAGTTTTAACTAATTTTGAACACAGAGGTGACTCCAATCAGGTATTAATAATCTCACTGTTCCCACCCTCACTTACTAACTGAAAACTTATTTTTTGGAAATCCAGTATTAGAACATTAATTATACCTAAATTGTTCTTCTCTACTCCCTATGTAGTCCCATAAGTAGGATTTCTATAACTAGTTACAGAATGTCTAGTATTTCTGTATATAACTGCTCTATCCTATGACGAATCCAGCAACTTGTCTTTCTCCTCTTAATAATTCTCTTCATTCCAAATCAGATATACTGAATTATAACAATTTTAAAGTGAAATACAAGTTTATAATAAAGTATAGGTCAATTGATTAATACATGGATATTATAAGCAATATCTACTTTTACAAAGAGAAATCTTGTGAACTTCCAACATGATAAAATGGTGCAGACCCTAAGCTTGAAAATTCTTGCAGAAAACTTTTTAGTTTCATTTGTTAAGGTTGTCATTGTCAACACAGTAATCCAAGTACTTGCAACACTGCCCTTTAGCCTATGTTGCTGTCAGTTATTTTGATAAATATGAGAAGAAATGAACAGATTCGAGTCCATAAATAATCCCATTACTGACCACTGTAGACACTTGAGTTACAAAATATCAACCTTTAAGACCTGTAGCACACCTCATATTGACCTACAGAAGTACAGTGGAAAATTTTCTACATGACTCAGTTACTTTTTCTCATTCCCGAGCATATCTTCCTTTCCAGAGAAAGCATATCTTTCTCTTTAGATATTGCTAACATATCTAGCAATCTTTATCTCTAGATTTTTTCCTTATTAACCTACTCATATAAGTAGTTTCTATCTATGGCTCTAATGTCTTTTGTGCAAGTATGTAAATGTTTTCAAGGGATCTGGTCTTGACTGATGCTATGCATAAGAATCTTTAACTTAGACAGCCATGCCTGTGAAAGGAGTTAAGAAAAGTCGATCCCCAAAAATGATACTTTGGCATAAGAATTGTTTTGAGTGAAAGTCCGTTAAGCAATAACAGATACAAGGAAGCTACCTAAAAGAGGGCATAGAGTTTCCTTCATGAAAATGTCCCTCTTCTCTTACCAGGGTGGAAAGAGCAACCATTATTTTTAGAAATGGACATGGTACCAAGTGAATCTGAATAAACCATGCATCTTAAATAATTCTCATCTTCCAATAGTTTCTCCCAAATATTTTACTGCTTTTGGAAGCTCAAAATCCTTCATGTCTTATTTAGTCAATCTCTGCAATTTATTAAAACGGTTTGAGTCCTGGGTCTTAGCAGTATCCATGAATTTTCATTTCTTCTCATAAAACCTCCCTCTATAGTAAAAATCAATATTAAATAATATTTGTATACCTTTTATCCCATTTAATTGCTTTTTGTAAATTCACATTTCACTGATGCTAAAATTAAAACAGTAGAGGAAAAGATTAGTATCTTTAACACCTGACAAAAAACTATTTCTATTAGAGACACTAATATATTGTTTTAATTTTTGTGTTTCTATTTTTTTACAATAACATAATAGTTTATTTTTACATCATTTTGTGCCTTTTTCCATCTCAGTTTAATCCCTGTAGGCTTCCCATCACCAAATCACCTGTGTGCTATCACCATGCTCCAGAGAGGCACTAATATTTTAAGAAACTTTGAAGTCATGGGAACCATGTTGAACAATGAGAATATACAGATGTTCTGTTGCTGACTATGTATGTATGAAACAATTTATTTCTCCTCACTTGGGATAATGTTATAGGATATTACAGATTCTCTTGGCATTCTTTCCCAGAGCTAGCTTCAAAAGCATCAATTTTCAACATTGTTTAGGGCAGAGGTCTCATTTCTTTAAATATGGAAATTGAACTGTGGCATTTATCGCTGTCTAATTTTTGAATTCCTAGAGGTTAACAATGAGATATATATACTTTATTATTAATGTGTTAATCTATAGCACACAAAACATTTATTTCCTGTTTAATTATGTGCAGTGACTCTTGTCATGTAATATTTTAAATGTCTAGTCAAATGATACTTCTGTGTGACTAAACATATAGTCTAGAGAAGATGAGAGAGGTTCTATGCAGTCCTTTCACATATTCAAATACATGTCTTCATTTGATGCATAAAAGTTTGGAGAAGTCCCTGTTATTTTTAAACCCTTAATGCAGTTTTGATGGTTTTCTGTTTTTGGTAACTGGTAGAATATGCATAAAAATGGAATTGTATAATTCCAAATTTAATAAAAGAGAATTCAAGACAAAAAGAATTTTACATCTTATTGCTTTGTTTAGTAGTATCACAGCTCAGGTTTTTGGGAGGGAGGTATGATTTGTTTTGGTTTGTTTTTTGTTTTCTTATTTTTTGGTTTTATAAGTCAAACTACAAATTCCGCTACAAAATTTCAAGAGGATTGCAATGGTTAAACAAATTAAGCAACATTATTGCTGGGAGTAGTAGGAGAGTATTTAGTAAAGTTCATGTAAATTATCTACATAGACTAATCTTAATTAAATTTTAAAATCTAGTCTGACCTTAATACACAACCTCATACATATAATTATTGCAATTACTTTTGATTGTTTAACTACTCTAATGCATGTTCTAAAAATAATTTAGGACACAGATAATTATCTTAAATAATCCACAAATGTGTCATAAGTACAGTAGTGCAAAGTTTTAAATTAAACAAATTATTATTTATAATTTTTACATCCCCTTTCTTATAAATACACCACAAAAAAATTTAAGTTGTTTCCCATTTTGTATAGAAATCGACAGTAGCACAGAGGAAGTGAATTGGGTACCAGGTTGACATATGCCAAAACCAACTGGCAATTGGGTACCAGGTTCATATATGCCAAAATCCTAGCCATGATGCTTTACTTTATTACACTGTGAGTTAATACCTACAGAAATAATTGCCACTGGAAGAAAATGAATTTAGTACAGTTTTACATACAAATAATTATCTTCCATGAATTTTAAGATACTTATTTAATACTTATATTATGAAGGATGATATTGGAATTTCCATTATTAGATACTAATAATCATAATATACATAATGTATACACTAGCAGCTAATTGCTTCATTCACTTTTGGGGGATTAGATGATATACTTATATTGATTCTTGAATATTAACAGTAGGAAAATGTAATTACTATATGCAATCGCCACTCTAATTTCTCTGTTAATCCAAATAATGTAAAAATAAAAAAAAATGTAAAAATAAATTGTACTTACTTTCAACAATGATTTGTCTGTCTTCCCAGTTATCTTTAATAAGCTGTATATTTCCAAAGTGTGCATCGCTGTAGAAAATACGATTGGTACCTTTCCTTCTTTGATCATAGTCAAAAGCCAATGCTATGATATTCTTGAAGTAATCTGGATTCTCATATGGCCTTATTGGTGAATTTAAATTGGTTTCATCAGAAAGATGTATACTTTTTAATATCGTTCTCCCTGAATACAGCAAATAACCTTCATGCCTTAGGCAAGTAACTCCATCCTCTGCCAAATAGCCATGGGCACAAGCACAAGTTCTCTGAGAATTTCCTCTATAAAGACAAAGTTGCTGGCATCCACCATTGCCCTTGGTGCAAACATTGGTCCCTAAGGTAGGGAAAAATACAAACATTTGTATTCTTTCCTTTTAAATTTTTCTTATAGAAATAGTAATCATTTAGAGCTGAATGTTTTGTTTTTTTATTCTTAATTTTGAAACTGGTAAGTAAAAAAAATCACTGTGAAAAGTAATGTGTTTTGAAGTTATCTTCTTCCACTTCCCCTATCATCAAACAAAAACATTAAAAATTTTCCTTAATCAGCTAGTAGGTATATAAGTGTTTTGAAAATTAATACTGAGATTATAACAGATTTTATATTTTCTAGTCTTTGGCAATGCTGATTCATTCTAAACATGATGGAATGCACCAAAACACATTCCCTACTTTAAAACTCTTAAATATACACATATACAACAACATTATTTATTATACAAGAGAGCTGACCTTTCTCTCTTACTCGGTTAAAGATTTTAATCTCCTTCAGGTTCACTCCAAGACCAGTTCTCATAGTTACAGTCTCTGTGGCATCATTCTTGTGGCCCCTTCGTATAGATCCATTGGCATGTGCTCTGCCAAGAAGTTGAAAAACACATGATCAAAACAAAAATTTAATTTAAATCAAATCCATTTTTTAAGCCAGGTATAAAGGATGCCTAGTAGAAGGGAAAGAAACCAACTTTATTCTGTGATACTAAAATGCTTGAACCTGGAATTACAGGAGTGCCTGCCTTTTCTTTGGAAATTACAGGGATTTGTGAGATATTCTTTGTGACCTTGCTAAGGAATGGCTAATCCTACAAGGGTAAAGCAAGTGGTACTGAAATAACATTTTGAGCTTCAAATACTTATGAAAAAATAAATTACCTGTCAGACCAGTAGATATAAGCCCCAAAGACTGCAACTGAAAACATATCCACGTTGCTCCCTGACAGTACCACCTCGCGGCTCCCACCAGTTTCAAGGTCGATTCTTTCTATCTTGTCTGTACGAGCATCACACCAGTACAATTTATTTTCCTAAAGATCGATTGAAAGGCAATATAATGAGCTGTTTTGATTGAGTGTTTTATTGAAAAAGTAAGAGAACACTAAAAGTGAACTAATGCAAGTTGGCAGTTAATGTACTTTAAATGCTTAAAAGAAATCCAACAGACCTCATAGTCAATGGAGATGCCATTTGGCCATGCTATCCCCATGCTGACAAGGACAACCTTCTCTGAGCCATCTAAGCGAGCCTTTCCAATGCAGGGCATCTGTCCCCATTCAGTCCAGAACAAATAGCTAAATGCAATTGTTGATTTATAGTGATATGCAAATAAACACAAAAACACACATTATTAATAACAATAACAGCAGTAATGTTCATACTAACAAAAATAATACATTTTAAAAAGTAATATACACGTGCATTTATTTAACAATGAGGGATTTTTATTGTTGAAAATATGTAACTATTCATAAAATCATGATTATTGATTCAGGAATCTAACTTTTATATATGCTATGCCTATCTGAAATGCTCTTCTCCAGCCTGCTTACTTACTTTGCTACTGCTGTTTATGTTTTAAGTTCCATTTACTTCCCTGTTCTCTGACTACTCCCCCTATGTTTGCGCTTCATAGCATGAATTAGAGTGGCAAATTTACACTTTATATTTCTTTACAATGTTTATTATAATTACAATGATGATGTCCCAATCTACAGGACAAGGTAATTAGAAAATTTAAAAAATAAAATTAGCGGTAGGTTAATATCTAATTTATTTATTTTTAAATTTTTTTATAAAGATTTATTTATTTGTGCATACAGAACTGGGGTACATGCCAGAGGCTCAGGGGCGGTGAGAGGCTTCACCAGTGACAGAGTGGGGAGCAGAACAGGCAGATCTAGGAAGTACACTGCTGAGGGGAGCAGCGGGCAGGTCAGGAGAAGTCTGCCACGCCATGTGGTCACCTCCGGGCAGGCGGGAATCCAACTAATGTGGAAGTGGTTTTAGCTTCTCAGTGCAGTGCTTTAACCCACTTTGCCACCAGGGAGGGCCTCTAATTTATTTTTATAAACATACATTTATGTAACTTTCAATTCTATTCATTTAGAGAGCTAAATTTCACTACTGTGATCATAATTTTACAAATTATTTTGTGAAGCCATTTTAAAATATGGATTAAGAGAATGAGTGTAGTAGCTAATATTATTATTTTAGTAACCACACAATACAAAATGTAATGTGAATGAAAATGAAATAGTGTACCAATCTGTTTCGGCAAATCCCTGAATCATAACTTAGTAATAAATAAAGATGATTCACAAGGGTGGGAAGGAAAATGAAACATAGAAAGAAATTCAGAGTATGCTGAAATAGAACATATCCAAAAATGAAATGTAGAAGCACAGAGGTATATAACCAGGCTTTCCTTCACTCATTCATTCAACAAATACAATGTTCAAATTATAGTATAATAGTCTACACTTTTAGATAAAGGATCTCTTCTTTTGAAGGTATATCAGTATTTATTCAATTGTCAGAAAATAACAATGAATGAAGTTTAGAAAAATAGCACAATCATTGATCCAGCCAGGCAAAAACTGGGCCAAAATTCTGTACATATGTGAAAACAAAGCAAATGCTACAAACAAAAGAGCAGTGAGTATGCACATGGAAGAATCTGAAGTGAAATGCTCTATCACTGAGCTGCACTCCCAGCCTGTAGAAGAACCTAAGAAATACATTCACCTTTTATATCCCCTCACTAAAGCCATTATTTGCCTATGAAAAAAGATACTAATACTACATAAATAAATGTATTTGTGTGTGTGTGTGTGTGTGCCCCTTTTATTCACAGTGTTTTATTTTAAAAGTTGATTTTTCTAGGCCCTCCCTGGTGGCACAGCAGGTTAAAGCACAACACTAAGAAGCTAAGTTTGATCCCCAATTTGGAGGTGATCCACATGGCACCGCAGACCTCTCCTGAACCACTCGCTGCTCCCCTCAGCAGTGTACTTCGTCCACCTGCCTGTTCTGTTCCCCACTCTGCCTCTGGTGAATCCTCTCACTGCCCCTGCACCTCTGGCCTGTACCTCAGTTCTGTATGCATAAATAAATCCATATTAAAAAAAAAAGTTGACTTTTCTTCTCTGAAAAATACTGTATAAAATAAATATATTGGACTTATGCAATTATACAAAAAGAAGTGTTGCTAGAATCCCAAGTATATTAATCCTGAAGAAACTGAGTTCATATCTACAAGCTCTATAAATCATAAAGGGAAACATTGTAGCAAGACATTCAACTAATGTTATTGGTTAGCTCTAGGCTGAAGCAGGCATAACAAAATATGTACTTCTGTCACGATTGTTAAAACTTTGAGGGAGACACTACATAAAAATTTATTCAAAATAAAATAACTACTTGAATAGGAAGTAAAACTGTTATAATATACTTTTTAAGGACATGTTTCAGCATTATTAATAATGCTCTTAAGATAACTTCACCAAGTCTTTGTTCTTAGATGGTAGGCAATGTTATATTGTGATGGGGATTTTAGGGATCCAGTACAGTTCAGGGAGAAGAGATGTGCTTATTCAATCCGATTCTTCCTATCTACTTTTAACATGCTCTAGAGTTCAAATATGGCACAACATGTATACATCTTTTATGGAAAAGTAACCTGCTTTCAAATGTACTAAATGATTAATAAAAATATTATTTCCCTCCATAGAAGTCACAATTCAGTGAAAATGCTAATTAACATATTTAGCTTTAATTCGTAAGTATGGAAATAATAGTTCAGGAAGTTAATGATTCACAGGCACATGGCTAATAAGGTCCAAGCCAGTAACTACATTCAGACTTTATTAAAATAGGCCTACACTGAACTGTCTTCTCTATGATACACGGTCTTATCAAATAGAAAGTCCACAATATAACAGTCTTAAATCAGACGTTATGTTTCCTTAGATGAAATGAACATAACAAAGATTGCTATTCTTAAAAACATAAAGCAAAATATGAAAAGGATAATGGTGTTGAGGAATGTCTTTTATTTCCCTCAAGAATTCTGTATTCATTTTAAATTGTAATACTTTCATTCAAGATACTGGGAATGACAATTAATTTAGAGCTAAAAAATATTTAAAGTATGGGTATCTTGTATATAGATATACTCAAATTTTCTCTTTAGAAAACAAATGATTTAATAAAAACATTAACACAGATGCAGAAATCCCTTTTTAACTAAATGATCAATTGAAAAAATAAAAGTAGATTCTACACCTACCATAATTAATTTTTATTAACGTCAGGGAATAATTTGTTTGCTTCGTAAACACTGACATTAAAGAACTAGAACTTGAGAATAGAACTAGTACCTTGAGAAACTTCTGGGTTTGTAAACCAGGTGTAGAGAAAGGACACCCTCCCCCTTTTTTTAATTGAGATAACATTGGTGTTGAGGTAACAACAATGTGTGATTCAGAGCCACAGGATCACACATCTCAGAGTCATGTTATCACCCCACAATCAGGGGTGAACAGGGAGAAGTTTATGAGTAAGTTCCAGTAATAATTTGTATAGATCAACTTGACATTATCTTAAGTGAACACTGATTTTCAGTATCTAATCACTGTCTGGGAATGGGAAAATCATGGGGATAAAGAATGGGAAGAAAAGAAAATTGTTGTCACTGGCTTTTGAGACTCCATGAAAATTATGATTCAGTGACTATAATACATATTACTGTTGTCCTGATTGGAGTTCAAGTTTTGCTGTAGTGAAGTGATGAACAGATTATATGATTTAACCAAGAAATTGCCTTCAGAGTGTTAGCTTGATAAGTCTGGACCTGAAAATACTTCCAGAACTAGAGACTTCTCAAAACTGTAAAAATTTAAATGATTTGCTATGTAATTGAATTTTTCTAGATAGCAGTTCATCCTAAACTGAACAATAAGATAAACATTTCATCTCTTATTTACATATAATTGCAGTTACAGAATGTAAAAGTGCAAAATTTAAAAAGTAAATTTTTACTTTTACAAAAAGGAAATTTTTACATCAAAAATAATTTGAAACTTACAGGAGTACTAACAGAAAGCATAACATAATTATCCCTATTCTCTCAGACACAGAAATTCTTGGCAGAAAATGTTTAATGAGTACATATCATGAATTAATTTCCAATTACTTATAAATATGTAATTGATACAACACTAACTTGGTAACACTGAGATGTTCTCATTGGCCTAAAATACACTCAGTGGTATTTAGTACAATTTAGTACATTTATCATATGGCAGCTACAATGCCAATATTAATTTATGCTCAGGTACACTTGTAAATGAAAATACTTTTTTAAAATTTCACAAATAGCTATATTCAAGTTGGAAAGTATATATTGTTTATAAATATCCTTAGATGATTTCAAAGACATATTTTTTGGGTAACAAAACTAGCAGAGAAAAATCCTATATTGAGTGGGGGAAGGGAAAGGAGTTGAATAAATAAATCTAACTTTTGAAAAAAAAAAGAAAGTGATTCTTATATATTTTGATATCTGAATAATGAAAAGTATCTAATTTGAATCAATCATTTTCTTTGTATTTAAAACTCTACTTTGAGTGTTAAAATGTTTCCCTAAAGAACAAATACAGGTTGCAATTTTTATAATGATCTCATTACTTCTTTCTTCTCCTATCCTTTTTCTAGAAGAAAATGATTTAGATCCTTTATCAGATATGATAAAGAAAATCTGAGATAACTAAAAGTGCCATATTAGCACAAAATGAGCATGTAAAATCTGTTATATGCAGCTAACTTGGTCCAGAGGAGAATCACAAATGTCACTGTGTCCTCTGCTAACTTGGGGGTCAACACTGCATTACTGTATCTGCAAAAAAAAGTAAAAATGTTAAAATGATAATAAAAAAGTAAAACTCCAACAGATTATCAATAGTATTTAGCCTTTTCATACATACTTTTATTTGACAAAACTACTTGGTCATTATTTTTCCATTTTATTTTGCCATTGGACTGGCAGGTGATTCTCAAATGTGTTCTTTCATTGCAGTCATGTACTCATTCAGCAAATATTAATTAGGATAGGACCTGATGAAACAAAACTAACTGGACTTAGTGACACTCATGAATCTTACTGTCTGATGGCAGAGACAAATGGGTAAATAAAGAATTACCTGTGAAAAATGCTGAACAGAAATGCTTAAATGTTGCTATTTGAGAGTTTCTATAGGTCATGAAAGTAAGGTCTTCAACACTGAAATGCTGA